CTCTCTGTGTCCCTCTGTGTTTTCTAAACACTGTCAAGAATCATAACTCCAAGGCATCTTGAGGCTCAAAGCTGTGTGCATGCGTGTGTTCAGGGGGGGGGGGGGGGGGGGGGGGCTAAATTGGACTTGGCTCTCCGATTCATCGTTTTTGAGGCTTTGTAACTTTATAAAAGATTCATGTATATAAAAGTTCATATAATAAAATGAAAAGTCTTAATTGATTTGTTGGCTCGTTCTGAGCTGGGGTGCTCTTTCTTTTTCGTCCTGCCGTTTAGTGTGGTGCAAAATTCCTTACAGCTGTGCAATTGCTCCGTTTCACCAAACGCCGCGCGTCGCCATCCAAAGCAAATACATTTTACAGCAGAAACAATTTGTAAGATGGATGGTCCACGGTCATTTCAAACAGCCCCGGAGTCTGTTCGCTGGGGTAGAAGGGAATGGTCATGTTTCTCTTCCATAGGTGTCCTTTCTGTGCGTTTTCTGATGTTTTATGAGGAAAATATTATATTACGAGATGTTACAAGTGGGCTGGGTTTTTTTCTGTAACACCCCCACCCCCTCTTAGTTAATGAAATTTGTGGTCCGGCTGGGCTCGCTTTGAAAGATGGCAGTCATAAAGGTTTCTCTCAAAAGTTATGTCTCTTCCTTCCAGATGAACCCACTGCTTAAATTTATTTATTTATTTTTTTTGCCAAGGTTTATCTGGCCCATGTCCTGAGGGGCGGGGGGGGTTCATCCTCACCTTCATGCCCGCTGTTCCCCCACAGTCTGGCACCGCCCTGACTATCACTATGGCCCCCATTGGTCATTTTATGGACCCGACTGGGCCTCCTGCCTCTTTTTGAGGCAGGATGGTTTGACCGGCACAGTAAGGGGCACTACAGATGCCCCACATGCAGCTGTGAAGGGAAGACTATGGTCACTTACCTGCCCAAAGCAAGGAATGTAGCTAATGTAGGTGCAGCTCTAGTTTAGGTGCTGGGGTGCGAGGGAGAGCATCAGAGGTGCAGAGTTCGATGGGTTTGTGGGAATCCAATTAGCTTCATAGCCTGCAGCTGGGGAGGGCTGTGGGAGTACGGGGGCGGGGGGTGGTGCTGGTGGTCTTCATTTTTCCGTTCCATCAAAGCCAGTATGGTCAGTACCACAGTGCCACAGGATGCCGGGGGGGGGGGGCGTAACCGCTGTCACAGCAGCGCCTCGCTGTCGCCCCCTAGGTAGGCGGTTTGACGAGTGTAATTAGCTCTAATTTTCATAGCTGGTCGCAGTTTTGATTATATGACCGCAGTGACAAACCACCTTCAAATGACACTTCAGCCCCCCCCCCCCCACACACACACACACCGGTTTTCATGTTTATCATAAACATGTTTATGAAAACGCCTCAGAGGTAAATGACTTCCTCATGATGATGCCCCCCCCGTCACACGGGCCCACGCCTCAACCGATAGATCAGCCTCCTGGAGCGACACCCCATGCCGCGCCCCTGCATCCGCCTGTGGCCCCCAGCCCCACGAGGTGATGTTAAGCAGGCCCCCCCCCCCCCCCCCGCACGCATACCAGCTGGGAGGGGTCCCCAAGCGGGCCAGCTTACAGAATCAATGATGTCATTCCAGGGACACGAATGACAGGAGGGTCCCTGCAGGTTGGTCTGGCCCTCGGCCCCCTCCCCCAAGTTGCCATAAATAATGTTTCGCTGACATTATTCATGCATTTCTGTATCTTACAGTACAACTGCAACAAATTCACGCACCTGCGTCCCCAAATGAATAACACTTGAATGAAAAAGGGTCTTTCCATAACCAGTGTTGTGTGTTTTTTTGTGTTTAAATAACTTTTAAAATCACTCGTTTTGACAAACTCCTGACGAGTCGCATACATCGGTGTGTCCAGTTACTTGAGTTATGACACGTCGTAATCCCGTTTACCTGTGTTTAGTGTCTGTGTCCCAACTGCAGCATCGTGTATCGGCTCTGCTTAAGATGCGCCGTTTTCCTTTAAGGGTGTTGGTAATGTTAAAGGCAGTGCCCTTGGATGTGCATTAGAGACGGTGGGCTATGAAAGGCCCCTTTGATTGCCGTGTAATAGGCTAGAAAGGACTTAATTTGAGGCCCTGAATCGGCCTTTCTGTTCCGTCACACAACAGGTGCACCTTTTTCTTTATTTATATATTTTGATGGAAATCGGCCTTTTAAGTAGACTTCGTGTTTTTTTTTTTTGGTTCCCTTTTTATCTTCATCCTATTAAATGGCGAATGGCATTCGAGTCGTTTGAAATTAAAGTTCTGCAGTGGGTCAGGGTAGATGTCTCTGGGAGCAGGCCGCATGCACGGCGCCCCCCATCGACTCGGCTCAGCTCCGTCACGTTCCCCCCGTCGGTTCCAATGTCCTACTCTACTGAGTGCACTTTCATCTGTTTGGCTTAGCAGCTCCTCTCCTGCCAAGTGCGGCTGTTTCGTTAGCGACTTGTGAGGTTCTATTTGCATAAGCAGAACTAATATTTATCCCTGGAGGACCTGGACCGTCACGCGGCCGTCTCACCCGCCGGTGTCATGTTTGGATGAGTCCTGCCGCCCGCTCTCGGCACACGGGCTCACCGCCTGCACCCATCGTCACGGCGATGGGTAAACCTCGCTCTGTGGCTGTGTTCGGGGCACCGGGTAACCCAAGTGGCATCGTAGCGGAGTCAAAATCCCGTCCATTTAAAAACCCATCATGCCCTCAGCTGAATGCCTTACAGAGGTGTTTTATTTTATACATTTTTTTTTTTACTTATTTCCTGGAAAGTGCTAAAATGTTACTGTGCTTCAGCTGTGTTCAGCCACACCGTGGCAGGTCTCCTGAAGCAGACACTGTGCCAGGCCACCGGCACTTGAAGGACCACCTCCAGTGGGGAGCTGGATGGATGGCAGAGCTGGTGGAGGGTTCTGGGGGG